TTTGTCTGACGTGATGAGGCCTAAACACCTGGGCACATATTCACAGTCCTAGGACCAGCAGTAGCTCTTAAAGATGTAATTTTAAGAGGATGTTACCTCAATAAGGAACAATATTTTCACAACCATAAGGCGCACCGTACTAAAAGGCGCAGTCTCAGTTATGTGTGCCATTACTGTATTTAACACACACATAAGGCGCACCGGATTATAGGGCGCGGGTTTTATATACCGGTACATATCCTCTACTACATTAAATACCTCTACTGTGTATTTAAAAATAGAGCGGGAGCAAAACTGAGTATGTTTGTGCTTTATTCATGTATTTATTACAAAGTATTAATCAAACATGGGAGCTGGCCGTGAGACAGACACATCGCTGATGACACAGAGCACTGTGATCACTCCTCTGAAACAGTTTATTGACGCATAAATTAACCTAAAATGCAGAAATCTGCTGGCAGAATATGTTCGCTTTTATTATCCTGGTGCCTGCAGTTTAGATTATTTAGATGAAAAACACCTACCAGCTGCCGTGGTGAACCACGAGGAGGCGACCCGGCCAGAGGCTGCTGTTGAATGGGATCCTACTGACAGTGCACCGCCGGTATTTGGGGGTCTGAGCGGCTCCGACAGAACTAATATTGGAAGGGAGGATGGTAATCTGGATGAACTAAATGCAATGATTAAGTTTTCAGGTGGACTTTCTCACTTAAAAACATATTAAAACTACTTTATTCCCACTGATCACAGCAAATGTAGCTGCAAGGCAAAGAAAGGATAGAGTAGCTCCGCTCAACGCGCGTCAGACACACTTTTGCACCGCGCAGCTAGAGCAGCAAAGCTGCTTCAGCCGCGCGTCAGAACTAACTGGTACAAGCAGCAAAAATGAAGCAGCAGACACGATTTTGCTGCTCTTGCTGCGTCCGGTGTGAAAGCAGCATTACTTTGAACGGCCGGTACACACCGATGTCGAGCGGTTGAAGTTCCTTTGTCAGACCTCCTGGAATAACAGCAAGCACAGTGTTAATTTGTTTCACCATGTTTTTCACATCGGCTGTGAGATGGGCGCGCATGGAGTCACAGATTAACAGCAATGGTGATGAGTGGTAAAAAAAACCCTGATCTCCTTACATACACCTCCCTCAGCCACTCTTTCATCATCTCCTCAATGAGGAGATGAGGAGTTCTGCATAAAGCACATACCTGTTCTTTTATACACAATCCACGCCCACATCTCCCCCTTTAACGTTCTTATGGTGGTCTCAACAACGTCCGCAGTAACAACACACATAGGGCGCACTGCACTATAGGGCGCGCCGCACATTTTGAGGGGAAAAAAAACATGTTTCTATGCACCTTATAGTCTCGAAAATACGGTATTTTAAAGTACCATAGACCTTAGAGTGCTTTTAAAGGAGTTGTCACCCAGAAATCAGAGTAGTTAAAATGTGAGTTAAAGGTAAAACCTGTTGGAAAATTCAGAGTTTGAGATTGCATTGTATTTCTTTTGTGCAAGAGCTCTTTCATCAAACCAGAAGTGCCCAAAAAAACACATTCATCATAAAGCGTGACTTTAGTCCTTCCTCTGTATTGATGTGCTAACATAAGCCTGCCTTGCTATTGCCATTGCCATCTATGCCACCTAAAGGGGTGAAGGAAAGACTCACAGCTGCTGGTTGTGAACTAATTTTTACTAGTGTAGGAGACCAAGAAATTATGCAAAACAAACCATGGCAAAATACTTTTGTTGCTAATGCTGCATCCACATGAACATCTGTACACACCATTCTTGCGCATATCCTTGTGAGGAAAAAAAGGGATATGAAAAGGAGTTCAAATTATAGCTTTTAAAAAAAATTTTCAGCTGGAAATGATTGGAAATAAACTGTTGAGAAGAGTTGTATAAGTACAATACAAGGTTATGTCTCCTTTAATGTTAGAAGAAATTAGTGTAGAGATGAGGTATTAGTGAGCATAAGAGTGTCAAATAAAGAAGATGGTGAAAAACTGGAAATAGAGAAAATGTTTTGGCTGGTCCGACACCAAAATAGCAGAATAAATGAACATATAAGATTATTTGATGCTTATAAAAATTATTAATATTCAAATAAGACAAGCTTTATAATCCTTCCTAATTTGAGTAATTAGTTTTTGCAGCCATATAGGTCAAAGGTGCGCGTCCAAACGTATACATTTATCAAGGATAGATAATTAACAGAAAAATTAAATAATAATCATGATTTTTTTTTAAATATATACATTTATAACAATATAGTTGAGATGATTTTCATATTCATATACACTGTAAAATGCTCTCAGTAATAAATAATTTTAAAGTATTAAAACAAATGTAGATAATTGTGTAGATAAAGACACACTCTAGATAAGACCAAGGACAATAACACACATCCAATGTGTATACAGCAAGTTATAAAGGAGGTGAGAAAGTATTTTCTTTATTGTGCATGATGATGTCTGTATCTATAGCCTTAGGTCACTTTTGTGATGCCATCGCCTCATTGGCTTTTGGTTGTGGCAATTTGTACTTCTCACTTTCAAGACTGGAGTGTAAAAACAAAAAAAATGATATTGATCTGCTGAGTAATCTGCTTCCATTTCCTCTCTTTTTCACTTTGTATCAAAAGCATTTACCTTTAAAATAGCTCTATTCTTCTCACAGAGTTATTCCACCAGGGGATTCTCCTCTGCTCAGTATAGTTTAGACAGTAGCAGGTAAATAGAGAGATGACAGCACTTTGATACTAAAGATACACAAAGTAGTACAGTAGTTTCTTGCATAGAAATACTGGGTTTGGTTGGTTGGTTACTGTTGAATTAACAGAAAAAGTCAGCTGGGTAGATCTGGAGATCAACAACTATCAGAAGTATGCACTATTTTACATTGAAGTGTTACAATAAAATCCTAATAAAGTGTAAAAATTGTTGTAGAAATCTGGTCATACCAGGTTTTAGCAGCAGCATCTGGAACCCTGGAAACTTTTTGTATACTGCTTTTAAGGGGGATGAGGCTCCTTAACATATGACGTCAGCGTTGATAACAGATCAAACAAACATTATACATATGCCTCTATGTATAAGCTTAGCACCAGTTGGATGATTATATCTTCAATAAATATGTTGTGTATGCCCCAGTTGAAGCCAGCTGTCTCATCGAATAGAAAAAAAAATTATGTGAAACAATGGGCTATTCATCTCAATCTCCGGGGCTTTCCTATCATGATGGACAGCACTGAAACAAGTCTTCTGTTTGTACAATCAATCATCCTTGAAGAGCTTTCTAACTTAGAATAACATCACTGGAAATGGCCTTTCAAAGATACTTTTTTGATGCTTATCAAAAGATCAAATTTAACAGGAATGTTATAGACTCAAAATCAGTGAGTAGATTTTAATGGCTCTGTGGACATTAAATCTATATTATCAGGTTGATTGCACCTTTTCAGGGGTGTCACTGTATGAGTGAAGGGATTACTGCTAAATGAAACACTGTTGAGAGGCAGTCAAGTTCCTCTGTGTCATCAAAAATCCCTGAGGCTGATTTTTTTTCCATCTCATCCCTAAAAATATAAATAAAACTAAAATAATCACACAATTTCAAACGCATACTAGCCACATACACACACAAATCCTCTCTCTGTATCTAAATCAATTTCTGGGCAATCAGTCACTATGTTAATTTTAAATCTCTAATCCCTGTTATTGGCTAACACTTTGGACAAGGTTACCCATAGTACTTTGGTTATTAAAAACAACATATCTATGGATAAAAAAAAAGATATAAGAATTGTTCTTTTATTTGTTTTCTTTTACTAATCTTTAATACTCATATGAAACACCACAAACATTATTTGGATTGATGATGCCTTGCTTGAGACATTTCAAAAATATAAATAGGAAAGAAAAAAAGACAGATAATTTGATTATCTTTTTTAACATTAAGCTTTTTGTGTATTTCACCCATCAATACATTGTCTTCCACCGCTCCAAGCTACATTTTCTAGCTCATTTTATGTATCCCAAGGCATTCCAAGGTCAGAGGGATATGCAGTGCCTCAAGCAAGTTCTGGGTCTACCCCAGGGTTTCCTTTAAGTCGGATGTAAATTGAAAACATTGTGTCAAGAAGAGATCCTGATCAGCGGCCTGAACCACATAAAATGACCCCTTTGAATGCAGAAGAGCTATTTCCATCTCCCCTCTGGAATAACGTAGGATCTCAAGGGGGTCCTCCTACCTTGCAGAGGAAGCTAATTTTAGCAATTTATGACTAAGATCCCAGCCATTCACACTTTGATGAAAAACCACTCCATAACAAAGGTTACGGTCTGAAAACACCAGTGCCACCATCACATTGATGGTACCCTGACGTTCCCTAACCAGACACTCTTTTCTCCTACGCTGACATTCTGCCCATCACGACAGAAAAAGAAGATCGACTTGGAATACATTTAGTTTTGTACACACAACCCCTCCTTGAGTTATACTTGGATTGGAAAGCTTCCACACTCCCCATACACTAAAATGTTCCCCTTGAAAAAAAGCTTCTAAGGACAAGTTCAGAAGCCTTCGCAAGATCCACTAATGTTGACCAACTCCACGCACACACATATTTAGTACCTCTACCTTTACACAGCCCAAGTAGAAGCCTCAGCTCCTTATCTGGTCTTTTTGCATTTCTTAACGAGTAAAGATCAAACTTGAAATAAACCTAAATGTGATTGTGATTTTGTGTCACATACAGTATGGACAGAAAATTATTTATATATATTTTTTCACCTATCCATCAAGTTGGAACAAGCCTAAAAAGCCTAAAATGGAAAGTTCTGTGCTGTAGATCTGGGTGGATAGTAAGTGAAACGGTTATACAGAGCATTAAATTCAAAACCTACACCACATAAAAACCAAAATAGATCATAGGCAAATAAGTCTAAATTACTCTTCTACTGCATGTTTTCATCTGAGCTTTTCTCTGTTTCTGCAGGAAAAATTGCAGTCCTTTGCCTTCCTGGTCTTTGTGGTTGTCTGCACCTCAGGGTCCATTTACTTGTGTTCTGTACTTCCTGAAACCAAAAACAAAACCTTCATGGACATCAGCCAGAGCTTTGCTAAAATCAACAAAATGCCAGCGCCTTCGCCTGCCCAGGAGATGGAAATGGTCCTGTCCATTAAGCCACAGAAGAACGGGAAAGCACAAGACATCACAAAGATGGAGAGCTCCTTCTAAGTTGCACTTATTGTGGTAAAGGCATGATCAAAATGTTAAAGGAAAATGTTTTTACATATTTATGCAGAAAAAAAGTCAAGGACAAGGAATCGCATGATGATATCACTCACTCAGACTTCAACATATGCTTTCTATATGTTGTTTAGGGCTGGAACATTAAAGAATACCACAATATTATGCACTTAGTGGATTGTTTGTATTTACTGAAGTGTAGATTTATTAAGTCATCCAAAGTGGATTAAGGTGGATCTTGCTATCAAAAGCAACATGTTTCTAATTGATTACAGGGGAAGTAAAAACAGTTAATAAACATTTCATAAACCATTTTTTTTGTTTTGTTGTTTTTTTATTGTAAAGAAAAACTGGAATAAACTCCCTTAAATGCTCCCCATTTCTTGATTTAGCTCAATATGTTTGAGCTAAATGTTTGAGTTTTCCAGGGTTTCAGCTGGACTTACTTGAAGACATTGGGTCACGACTCTATGATGTTCATTTTGCTATCTGATAGAAAGACACTTTTCTCTTTACGGTCTTAATATTTGGAGTAGTTTTGTTGAAAGACTCATTTGAAAAACATTTTCTTTTAGCATTAGGCAACGTGACAGAGTACTATAGACCCTTTTTAAAACACCTTTAAACGGATCAATGTTTTTTTTTCTTTGCCAGTTTTTGTATTTGTTGATCCATTTAAAAGATCCATCTTTTCTCAATGTACCTACGGTTTGGGTTTCTATTATTGATGAGTTTAACTGATCAATTATTTGCCCGGCACCACACTGAAACAGCCCCTTTCTCCAAAATTTCAATGAGGATATATAACCAACACATACAATGTTTGCTGTTGTTGTCCTTCAGTAAGGGTCACTTGTTTGACACCTGTTTGTCCACAAGATGAATGAAGTATCTCCCCTTTCAAATATTGATTCAGCAACACAGAATTAGTCGAATGTTTGTCATGATCATTGAAGCTTTATTATTACCCTTTATTAATTTATTTTTATTTTTTTTACATACCACATGTAGAAGTATCATTTGAATTAAAAACAACGACTGACTTGGTTACATCAGCATACAAAAATACTAACCAAAGAAAGTAAGTGTCATTCGTGTGGAGGTCTGAGCTCCGTCAGACTTCATACAAGAGCTTGGAAGCCACATAAGTTAGGAGGAGTTAATGAAAAACTATGAAGTCTGTCCACACAGGCAAGAAGGGATCTGAGCAAATAAATGAAGAACTAACAGAGGATATGGGGAACAGGAAACATGGCAATATCAAAATGGTTGGATCAGTATAAAAGGAAAAAAGGTGAATATGTGTGAGAATGTAGAGAAAAGGCATGGAGAACAGAAAGAAAGTAATCAAGTGAGAAATAAAAAATGGCTGATGAGAATTAAGGCAGGATCTACGAACGAGAGAGAATATGAGCAAATATGTAAAAACACTTAGAAATAAATCCAGAATAGAATGGAAAAGATAATACTAAAAAAATCACAACAATAAAGAAGATGGAAAAAAACACAATTCAAACACCTACTTAATGAGAAATATGATTTTACATCTGTTTCAAAAAGTGCTATAATGTTGCATTATATCATTGCGGAGGATTAGGAAGATATTTGATTAATTAAATGAAATTAAAGTACAAGTACACATGCTGATGAAAGACAGAATGTTTTCATGATGGTTTTAATGTACACTCTACTGCAGATTACAGTCTGTGTTACACAATTAAATCTCTAAATCAGATAAGGTTAAGAAAGAGCATAGTCCAAAAATGTATATCTTAGATAAGCTACACTGAAAAAAATAATGCAACCGTTTTTGGCATTTACTTAATCATATTTAGTTACTTTAAAACAATTATTTTGTGTCCTACCCTGCTAACAAGAAACAATTGTGTTAAAGTAACTAGATGTGATGCCAAAATGCCAAATGCCAAAAACAGTTGCATTATTTTTTTCAGTGTATATATAAAATATAAAAAATATATATAATAAATACATTTTATTGTAAAATTTAAGATGTTTAAGTTATAGGTCAAGGTTTCGAGTGAACACAATCACTCATCCTGCACCAGAATCCAGTTGATGTTTTTTTTAAAGACACATTTTCATCAAACATTAAAAAAGATATGCAAATTTGTTTTAAATGGCATCTGAATATTGTAAATTATATAAATATAAATAACACATTTTAGAGAAACAAAGGGCTTTAACAAAGAGTACTCATTGATGCCTATTTTAATTAAAACGGAGGTGAAATCAGTTTAGGGTTCTTAGTTGAATAATTGTAGCTTTAATTTGCTTACTTAGCATGGTTTATGCCGTTCACCTGTCAGGTAGGGTGGAGGTTTTAAGGACCCAAATGCAGAGAGGAGTAGGCACAGATGAGTTTGGATGGTTCAATGAAAGTCCGATGGAAACAGAGGCAAAAATCCAAAATACTAAAATTCTGAAAACCAAACAAAACAAATAAACGTCATGAAAAATACTCGAAGGAATCAAGAGACTACGAAGCAACAAAACAACATCTACAACACACAAGAAACCAGCACTGAAAGAAGGCTCTGGTGCTTTTTTAAGCCCAGCACTATGATAATCAAGATTACATTCACCTATGTAGGCTAACCCAGCTCGCCACAAAGATCCTCTATAGTAGAGATGCACAACTTGCACTAACCCACACACAGGAACCCTAACTTCACCTCTGGATGGTTCCTGGACCGGCTGTTAAAATCCAGGTATCCACACCAATCTAGTGACCCAGACTAGGTTATCAGCAGAGCTATTAATTATCAACCAAAGAACTATTTATCTCTGCTTATTCACACTGTTCCCAAAAGGGGGTATATGGATTACAAGACCACTTCAAGTTAAATGTCATTGTAAGAGATCTTGGTGAAATGTTACCATGAAATGATGAACAACATCATCAGCAGGGTTGATGATGCATGTTGTTTATCTCTCTATCACAGTAGAAATGCCATTGGAAAAATGCCTGAGTAACTTTTTGATAATGCAATGGATAAAATGATTTATTTCTATTCATTTATTAACATTTCTTTCCATTTACAGTACTTTAAACCCTCTGCTGGTTTGGTTACATATACTGTAGTTTAAAGGCCAAGTTATGAAGAATGCACAAATAAGTGAATAGTGACCAATTTTTATAAAAAAAATATTAAAAGCTGTATCCATTACTGCATAAAGCAATTTCAAATAATAGTTCATTTTTCCGGTATTCCTGAATGAAATATGGTGATTGGACAGATGGATGTCCTGTGGAAAAGCATTATGTAGGAAGTTAAGCTTCCAATGAAGACATCAAATAATAAAAAACCTCAAGGAATATCATGAGAATAACAGACATTTGTTTGGAGCTTTCCCAGCTCTTAAAAAAAGCTCAGGCTACTTCCCACCAGATGGCAGGAGCCAGCGGAGGAGTTGATCTGAACAGATGCAGACAGGCGTAGCATTGAATAGCATTTACATTTTGCTTCACAGTAGGGTTTACTGAACAGTTTAAAGCCTGCATCCTATAGGGCTGGCACTCTTACTTCCATACAGACACATACTGTAGATCATGCCAAGTGCAGTCTGAGTTTACATTCTGAGTTATGAATGGGAGGTAAGGAAATTTCAGCCTATCATCACTTCAATTTTGACTCCCGATCATATTCAGTGGGCTGGGACCGCAAATTACATTTCCCAAACTGGCAAGTAAGCAGGGGAAGTGATGCGAATAATAAGTGGTGTTGTCTTTCTTATCTCCTCTCCACCATCCTTCTCTTGAGGAGTCTTTCTCTCAGAAGAATTAGTTAGTGGGTAATTGATAGAAGGATTTGCTACAGATTGCTGGTGGGGAAGTAATTATAATGCTGTCGATCTGTAGTGAAACATATACCATATACTTAATATGATGCTCTGTGGAGTAGTCCTTACCTTCTTTAGTTGGTGTGCTCATCCATATACTTAACAGATCCTCTCAGGATGTCCAGTAAATTGGTTTCCTAAGAGCAAGAATACAGGAGATAAATTCTACGCATGACTCTGTTGGGTGGGTTCGTTTATCAGGAACACTTATCCCTGTGTCTCCCCACTTTACAAAAATATGCTATTTTTAAATAGGCTCAATTAAAAGTCATAATAAAAGTATTTTTGTAACTGTCTGAGGATCAAAGTTTTTTACTTTTCATTGTATAAAAAGCAGGAATTTAATCTAAAAAAATTAACGTTTTAGCTCTGGAATTTATTACAGTAAATGGTAATGAAATAAAAAAAAAAATCCTCAATGGAATGTTCCTGTTCTTTTTTTTCAGAACAATCTTGGAAAACATCTCTTTTCATTTGTCTGTGTTACAAAGCATTTATTCTGGTTTGTCTCTGCAGTACCCTTTTCCCACTGGAAACCACCTGAATGACAGTTACAGGTCACATAAATGATTTCTGCTATTGCTATTATACCTGAACAGATAGAATCAACTTCAGTGTAGGGTCAAATCTACTAAACATTCTTGTAAAGAAAAACAAAAAGCTGCTGTTTCATTCATGTAACAATAATTGACACAATACCCATTTGATAGGAATAGTCTTCTAAAACCACGAGAAATTAATCTCTAGTATGCCTAAAACAGAATGTTTCCAGCATCCAGAAAATTATGATAATTTCAGGGCTCAGAAAATAGGACTCAGAATTCAGGCAGAGTGAACAGGTTTGTTTAAAAGTGAAACACTTTATTGACTGCTCTGGATTGCACAGCTCGTCAGCTAGAGCAGACTCACGAGCGAAGAATCCAGAAGCAGAATTCAGAGCAGGTTACGAAGCAGATGTCCAGAACAGAAGATCAGAGAGACACAGAGGTATCAAAGGGAAAATCAAAGCCAGGTTCCGGGCACAGATCCACAGTCGTTAACAGGCAGAGTCCAAAAAGCAGTCAGAACACAGGAAAAAGGCAGAAATATACTGGAAACAGACAGCATAGATAGGGGCTGAAACAGGTGGCTCAGATGAGAGCAGATGAAAACTAGGCAGAGCAAGGCAGGTGGAAGGGATAAATAATGATCCAGTCGAGTGTCAAGATATCATATAGCCATTAATTGTGTGAATATAATGTTCAGTTCAAACCTAGTTTCTCTTTCACGTCACTGGCTCTTTGCAGGGATTTTATGTTTTTTTTTTTTTTTTACTTTTTCTGAAAGCTGTTTTTCATACTGAATTAGGAAGTTTCAAAGTTTCTTACATTACTGCAGATGAAGTTTGTATATAACAATCCTGCTATAAAAAGAAGCAGCAGTGCATCGAATTATTTTCTTTAT